CAGCCCAACTGCTCAGAATGCTATTGACTTTTATCTGCTGCTTTCATTTTTGAAAAATAAGATTTTAGAAGGACCGAATGATAAGAAACTCCATTTGCTGACAATTTGTCAATCAGTATATCGCGGGGAAGATAGATCCATAAATGCAATAGCTATCTAGTTATTTTTGTGGACGGACTTACGCCAGTCTTTGAGGAGTCTGAGGAGAGTGGAATGAAAACATGGCCACTTCTGAAGGCACACAGAAAAGGATTAAACATCCTTTAAAAAAATCACTCAACTGTCATTAACTTGCTCATAAATTTTTGAAAATAGGTAGGATGCTCACTGGTCTGTAATATTTTGAGCCTAAGAGGGTCGTTTTTCTTGTGCAATGGAGTAACCTTAGCCTCTTTAAGTCTGTATGGAAATAGAGAAGTTTATCATTGAAGGTTATTGTGGAGCTACTATAAGCTTGCTTTGTTGTACTATCTTTGCTGGTATTCCATCTTCACCTGTAGCTTTCTTTATATTTATTCAGTTTATATTTTTCTCAAACTTGTCTGGGTTATTTTTGTGTTTTTGTGCATCGTGTCGATTTGATGAGGAAAACTTTCCAACTGATTTAATTGTTGACAGTGTTATTTTTCTGATTTCAGATATGCGACTGTACGTATTATTTTCTGTTCCATATTTGCGACTGTGAATGTTTTTCGTGTCAGATATGCGACTATAATGTTATTTTCTGTATTATGTATGCGAGTGTAATAACATTATGCGACTGTTAGTCTTATTTCTTTTTTAGATATGAGGCTGTTTGTGTTATTGGCCGTACTTACGGCCGCGATTGCGGAAGAGTAAGTAATAAATAACATATCTTCAGTAATAAAACTCAACACAAAAATATGCTCTAGATATCAGTTTCGTAGTATTTCTTAAACAATATCAAATCTCATGAAACATCTGTAAAATTCAATGGTTATGATTTATAATATCCTATCCAAATTTTAACGGATTGTCATTAGTCTTCAATGATAGATAACTGTTTTTTTTTCTGTAACACTTAGCTGATTTATACTTTCCCTGACCTGCTTTCCTTAAAAAAATGATATTGTGACGTCACGAAAAAAGGCAACCAATGCTTATGATGTCACATTAAACGATATTTATCACATTTTTTTTTTTTAGATTATTGGAAAAGAGAGATAAAACTTGCAACACAAATATTGTCTAAAAATCATTAGAGAAACGGAATACACCATTAAATCTCGTTCAATACGATATTTCTCCACTACCGACAGTAAAATTTAAATATTTTAAACGCTCTGCATTTTAAGTTTTTTCTGCATTTTGTATCAGACACATCATTATTGATCTTAACTTGTTGTATTCTTTCAAACAATTGATTGTATTTCTGGAATAATAAATGCTACATTTATATTTTTTTGATATTCAAATGAAATTCAGCGAGTTCAAAATGCATACAAAATACTAACAAAATTCAAAATATCGACCAATTACGACGTTAACTTTGTCTTACAAAGTATCTTATAACATCATTTGTCAAGGAAAACATATTTCTTCATAAATGTTTATAAAGAAAGAAAAATATAGAAAGTGTATTGTCTTTCAGTACTTATGTGATCATAACCCCAACAGATATTCGACCAGGTGTCGCTCTCAGTATTAACGTCAACATCCTTAAAGCATCAAGCGATGTTTCAGTCCAAGCTCAACTAACCAGGTCAACTGATAAAGTTCCAATTGGTACAGCACATGGAACATTTCAACAGGGTAAGCTCAGCTGATATAGTTACAATTAGTACAACACATGGAACATTTCAACAGGGTAAGCTCAGCTGATATAGTTACAATTAGTACAACACATGGATCATTTCAACAGGGTAAGCTCAACTGATAAAGTTAGAATTAGTACAACACATGGAACATTTCAACAGGGTAAGCTCAACTGATAAAGTTAAAATTAGTACAACGCATGGAACATTTCAACAGGGTAAGCTCAACTGATAAAGTTACAATTAGTACAACACATGGAAAATTTCAACAGGGTAAGCTCAACTGATAAAGTTACAATTATTTACAACACATGGAACATTTCAAGAGGGTAAGCTCAACTGATAAAGTTACAATTAGTACAACACATTGAACATTTCAACAGGATAAGCTCAACTGATAAAGTTACAATTAGTACAACACATGGAACATTTCAACGGGGTATACTCAACTTATATATCTTCAATAAGTACAGCACATTGAACATTTCAACAGGGTAAGCTCAACTGAAAAAAGCTATAATTAGTACAGCATATGGAACATTTCAACAGGGTAAGCTCCACTGAAAAAAGTTATAATTAGTACAGCACATGGAACATTTTAACAGGGTGCTCAACTAATAAGCTTCAATAAGTACAGCACATGGAACATTTCAACAGGTTAAGCTCAACTTATATAGCTTCAACAAGTACAGCATATGGAACATTTCAACAAGATAAGCTCAACTTGTATTTGCTATAAATAGTACAGCTAGCACGTGGAACATTTCAACAGGGTAAGCTCAACTGATAAAGTTACAATTAGTACAGCACATGGAACATTTCAATAGGGTAAGCTCAACTGAAAAAAAGCTATAATTAGTACAGCACATGGAACATTTCAACAGGGTGCTCAACTTATAAGCTTCAATAAGTACAGCACATGGAACATTTCAACAGGTTAAGCTCAACTTATATAGCTTCAACAAGTACAGCACAGGGAACATTTCAACAAAATAAGCTCAACTTGTATTTGCTATAATTAGTACAGCTAGCACATGGAACATTTTAACAGGGTAAGCTCAACTGATAAAGTTAAAATTAGTACAACACATGGAACATTTCAACAGGGTAAGCTCAACTGAAAAAAGCTATAATTAGTGCAGCACATGGGACATTTCAACAGGGTAAGCTCAACTATATAGCTACAATTAGTACAGCACATGGAACATTTCAACAGGGTAAGCTAAACTTATAAAGCTAAAATGAGTACAGCACATGGAACATTTCAACATGATAATGGATGTTGAAAAACTATATATATATTAAATTATAAGATCATGTTGACTGCACACTTTACTTATTTTTGAAAAGAGGGAAGTGAACTGTTACCATAACCACAGAGAACCAATGAAAATGATAAACAATGAAGATGTCTATAAATAAAGATGTAAAGAAACTCTGATACTAAAGTTGAATGAAATAGCATTCTAGCACACGTTGGAACCTTTCATATAAACGTACGATTTAAAGATTTTCATGCGCATGGCGCGTGTTAAGGAAATGATCATCATCTGGTACGTTCGAGAAGAAAGTCGGGGTTATCCTGGTATGAGCTGTTCTAAGGTGCAAAGCGCTCTTGTTTATTATTTTGTACATGATTTATTGGCATAATAGAATTCATCAACAAATAAGCTGTTGCTGTGTTGGAAAGTATTAATCATTTGTATTTGTCGTGGGGGACTACACAACAGCTACTTTCGAAGTCAATTTTAGGCAAATGCATTCATTGATTATTGATTAAGGTATTATTACGTGTTGGCATGATGAAAATACAAGAAAAGCAATCATTCGTAATGTTGTCTCAATTCATAATTTGAAAATATATATATATTAAAATAACATGAACTAGAATGATGGAAAAACGAGGTGTTTTCTCGATTTACCTTCATCATAAGCTCTCATACTCAAAACATTGAAAGCCAATGACGTATAACTAACTTATCAAATGAAAAGCTGTAAGAAGTGTTACATCTTGTTTGTAGACAATATATATTTTATACTCTTGTCGTTTTTCAGGTACTCCAAAACTTCTGGAAGTACAGGTAGGTTTGACATTTAAAAAACTTTCATGAGATACAGCTGATCTAGCATGAGATATTTTTTATATATTAAACTTATTTATTGATTCATATCTTGATTACGAAAGGATGATTCTACATGTATATCATGTAACTTCATTTATATTAGGCAAAAGCTATATAAGTTTGTAAAATAATGCAAATAATGATCATAATAATAATAATTAAAATAATAATAATAATAATGTTGACGATGATATAAATCATGATATACATGTACTTACAGTTTATATGATAACTTCTTTCATTTAAAAATCATGTTTGTAAACCGAAAATCAGTACAATTAATGGCGTGGGGTTTTTAAGGGATGTATAATTTTTCTTAAGTCTCTCTTCCGTTTATTACATGTACCATGCCTAATGGTTTGCTTGAACATGTACATAGTAAGGTTGGTTTTTTATAAATTATCTTACTGAAAACGTTAAAACCGTGATGTGATAATATTTTAATATTAACGTTGTATTGAAGGTGCCAGATAATCTGCATTCTGGAGGTTATGAGATAGAAGTGACTGGTTCCGGAGGACTAGTATTTACAAACAAAACTGACTTGACTTACCAGTCCAAGGGTATATCTATCTTCATTCAGACAGATAAAGCCATGTATAAACCAGGACAGACAGGTATTTAACCTTTACAAAACACTAACAGAAACATTGTTTTATTAGTATGGAATAAGAACAGTATTATATTGAATTTGTATTATCAGATTGAATCCATGCACAACGCATCTTAACTTCGGAAGTACCTACAAGATCCTCAAAAAAATGACAAAACCTACCAAGATTTTCTTCATAATTTTTTTTAAAAACAATGAGGAACGGATGCTTAATACCAATTTGTGAAAAGATCAGAATCAAAACTTAGACTGCCAACACTATTCATGACAAAACTAAATGGCGGATTACAACCATAACATATATTGGAATTCATTAGATGGATTAATTGTTGGTTGCTTAACGCCCAGTGGTAAATATGTCATGCATTTTCAGGACGAGGAATTCATTAGAAACCAGTATTTTAACCAATCAATTAATGGTTCATGACTAATGATATACATATTGTGTCTCATTGGATGTGTCTCATTATTTGCTTTTTATTCCAGTTCATTTTCGGGCATTCGCTATGTACCCAAACCTGACGATAATCGATAGTCCGATGGACATAGAAATTTATGTAAGTAATTAGATAAATATTTTCAAAGATAAATAAAAAGAAAAAACCATAATAAAGCAAAATAATGAACTTATAAAAATGTCAATATGATTCTACTTCTATTAGCATGTTTTGCTTTAGATAACACTACTACTAGATTAAGATATTTCGTAACAAATTATTAATAGAATCTAAAATTTGATGGTTACTTCTCAAAACAAAGATACAATTATCTACAAAAATGTACCAATTTAAAACGATGAGGATATTTTTCTGGTACAGTGTAATATGATACTTTTTAGGATCCTAACACAAACAAGATAAAACAGTGGTTACAAGTCAGAGATGCCAGTGGTGTTCTTACTAACTTTATGATAATGGATACTCAGCCTGTACTTGGAGATTGGAAGATCAAAATTATTACACATGTAAGGTTTGCATATGTGTCATGTTGTTTATTTTTCGTCAACCCTTGTCAGACAGTGGAACATTATAATACCCCTTTTGTTTAAACATTCATGTATATTGAAACTCAGAGTCCTACTCAATTAAAAAATGCAAAACTCATAAAATGCATATGAAATGATTGGCTTGAAAGTTCTGACAAACACGAATGTAACATTTACATTACTAAACTGAACTAGTACACATTTTTGTTTAGGGGCCAGCTGAAGACCCCTCCGGGTGCGGGATTTTCTCGCTGTGTTGAATACCCATTGGTGGCCTTCGGCTGTTTTCTGCTCTTTGGTCGAGTTGTTGTCTCTTTGACACATTCCCCATTTCCATTCTCAATTTTACATTAACATAGGGATATTCATATAAAAAAATGGTAAAAACTTTGACTAAATTTCATTCCAAATATATCAGACAAAATATAAATGATTCTTTGTCTACGATTTTATTTATTAGATAATTTAGTAGATCTACAAATCCACCTTCAGCCAAATCATACATAATAGACCCATGTATTAACCTGCAATTTTCCTCGATGTTTGCTGGAACCTGATTTGATATTAAGTTTTACTTGATTTACAGGGTCGATCTGAAGAAAAGGTTTTCACTGTTGCCCACTATGGTAAGCTATTTGAAATGAACAAGATGCATCAATCTTTTGATGCTTTAGGGGACAAGAACACAACTTTTGATAGGCTGTAATTTAAACTGAGAAATTTTAACAGTAAGAATACGGTTTTCTACAGTTTTATAACTGAGATTGACTCAAATATTTAAGAGATAGCATAAACAAAATCATATCATCACATTTTAGAATGGCTGCCATTTCACAAGTTTCAAATGTCCCGCCACTAGTATATTAGTTTTTAAAAAAGACGTTCAGATTGGCCATGGAAAATTTTAAATCCAAAGGTTTTAACATTTCTGATTTTGGAGTTAAGCACAATCGATTTAAAACATTTTTTTATTTGTCCTGGAACAAACGTCACTTTTTATAATGATAATCAGAATCGGTTGCGTCAGTAATAACAACATTTACTGATACCACCATTAATTTTACTAAACATATGTGCATTTCTATAAAAAATGTCTCTTGATTGTAAAAGATTCGTTTAAATCTTCTTAATGGACATGTTCTAAAAAAACACATCAAAGATGGACGCTATCGCGAGTATGACATTTAAGGAATATATGTGTCACAGATAAGTACGGTTTTGTCCAAAAAAATAAAAACAACACACACTTTATAAATTTCATGCGGCCAAAACGCAAAGTCCGATGATAAGTTTCCAATTATCATAACAACAATCCCTTCCCTCGATTGTGAAATCATCGAATTAGCTTATCACCAGATTTGTTGTACTTGGTTGAGCAACACGACGAGTGTCACACGTATATACATTTAAATTCTCCCTCATGAATTCGTCCGAATTTAAAACATTTCTATACTAAATACATGGCTAAATAAGAGACAAGTCATAATTTAGGTTTGTTTGCTCGCAGTAACTTTCTTATTTTCTCAGCGAAACAACATTTAATATCTTGTAAACATTTTACAAATTACAAAAATATACCACAATTCCATCTATATACATTCACAATGTCCTCTAAATACATATCAATACAAACATAACTGTAATATATTATGCAGAGCTTAACGTTAACTTCGTCTATCAAAGTTACTGGAGCACATCGATAATAATCAAACGTAATCAGGACTTATATATGCCTATAAAACCCCACCCGTACTACCGCCTTCGAAATATTCGTGCAGAAAACAACAGTAACATCAGACCACTTCTGATTTACATACTAGCCAAACTTGTACCACAAGTCTAAAGATAGAAATAGAATAGGGAAATTCCAAATATAACGGAATAGAAATAAATAGAACATATCCACAAAACACTGCATAGAAAATTAAAGATCGAGCAACACGATCTGCTAAAAAAAATCCGGAGTGAACTCAGGTGTTCCGGAAGGGCTAGCTGTTCCTTCTGAACATGTGGCATGCTTATTAAATCTAATCTGGATTAAATTGGAATTAGACCGTCAAAATCCCTGCAATGATCATCAAGGAAAACCATGACTGAATTAATTAACTTATGTATTTTATAACTGCAGTGTTACCCAAGTTTGAGGTATCAGTAGAAGTGCCTTCATTTGGTTTAGCGAGTGATACCACTTTACAAGGCACCGTTAAGGCAACGTAAGTAGCTATATACAACAAGTTTAATCGTCCAAAATATCACTATTTAAAAAAAAAATCATAATAATTTTCATTACTTTTATACACAATCATCCTTGAAATCGCTCCCCAAAATATATACGCTTACCCTTAAGTGCTTCGTAAACTTTGTGACCTTTGTTTGCCCGTCCTTAAGTAGTCATTATGTGTTGGTTCTGATCCAGTGTGTTTTGTCTAAAGGTCATCGTTTATCCCCGTATAAAGCAATTTTTCTTGTAACAGACTACCTACGGACTCTTAAAATAGTTGCTGGAAGGGTTCTTTAATCTAATTAGATCACCACACTCCTCCGAACGAACATTCGATTGATCGTCTCTATTCCAACCAGACTGTTGTATATTAATATATTCCGCCCAACTACGCGAACACCGCTTTAGGATGTGTTTTACTACCAGATGATGAATGTCCAGGTGACCTTTACCCCAGTGAACCTTTTGGTTCTGCTTTTAATAGAATAAAAATTTTAAATAAAGATACTTTTACTTTCCTACGTTAAATACTTGTCATGAAAAGAGGTGCATCATCCTCCCTTGGCAAATAACATTGAAATGCAGTCTCTTTATGAATAAAACAAATAATACTGCAAATTCTTTTAACAATATAAACATCTGATTACTCGCAAATGTTCTATACTTTACAGATATACCTACGGAAAGCCTGTAAAGGGAACAGTCAAACTTCGAGCTAGACTGGATTACTGGTATCGTCCATGGCAATACAATGGATCAGAACCAATGGTAGAACTCTCATTGAATGTAGGTACTGGATGAAAAATTTAAAAAATAAATTGTTTTATTCTAAGTCAGTAAAAACTTAAAATTGTATGACTAGACTTAAAATAAATGTCCTAATATATATATATATGTGTCACAGATGATAACAGAATTGTCTCCATTATTGAAGCCTTTAACCGTCTTTAATACAAAAATTTGACCATTGGTCACTAAAAGAGTGCTCATTTTATAACGAATTACCGTATTCATATGTTCACCTACAGTTTGAAGAATTTCTCTTATTGTGAATTAGTGTTTTTCCCCAATAAATCTTTTGTCATGAACTTACGCGAATGTGTATGGTACCATGACACGTATTAACCCAAAAAATGCAATTTTAAAGGTGATTGCAATTATGATGGAAGTTTAAGTATAAATATAACTTAAAGATATTTTTGATAGATTGTATTAACGTTGGAAGTAAGAGCAAGTTTTATTCACTAGTCGATTATTTGCATATTTTCAAAAAGTTGAATGTAGTAAGTCAATGCACCTTTGCTCTTCAAAGTTTGCATAAGGTTTGGATTTTCAAATGTTTTGGCGTCGAGCATCACTGAAGAGTGCGAATTACCGAAATGCGCATCTGGTGCAGTAACATTGGTACCGTTAATACTTTTGATGCAATTAATTCAGACTGATGCGTTTTTCGAAAATTTGATTTTCTTTGGAAAGAAGAAAGATCAATATATCAAAGTCACTCTCACCAATTTACAAGTGACATGCGGACGTTTGTATTCTATATATGAAACATATGATTGTATGTTTTATTCATTTTTTTTCCAGTTGGACGGAGAATCCAAATTCACACTTCCTTTATCAAACTTTATGATAAACAATCGCAATTACATCACATCTGGAAGAACTCTCAAAGTAGAGGCAAATGTTACTGAAAGCTTGACACATATTACTTTGAGCGGGAAAGACTCTGTGAAATTTTATGCGCATGCCGAAAAGATTGAATTTCTTCAGTCAAACCCAAATACTTTTAAACCAGGACTACCATATACAGCATATGTAAGTCAGTATATTAAGCCCGATAAATGAAATGAAAAATTATAGTATGATACAGTAATTATTGTTTTTACGATGATTTTACACTTCATGATGATATGTTATAACTTTTCAATTTAAGTGGAATAGATCTATATAGTATATACATTTATATATAAAGCATATTTATGATGTATCGTTTAATTGTCACAAACTTTGTATTTAAAGTTAAATACAATTATTGATTGTGTTGAATGTTGATTTATATTGTTGTAATCTGATTTTCAGTTAAAATATTACTTGGAAATTATTTACCTTCCCGCCACAAAAAATACGTACATTATTTTTTATTTTTTGTTCTACAGATGCGTGTTGCTAGACAAGATGATACACCTGTGACTGGAGCAAAATCATCTGTTGTCGTTCATACCACCGTAACATATCAACTACCAGAACCAACACCCACACCTAAATACTATTATTATCCACAAACTAAAACCTACGCAATAACTGACAGGTCTTTTACTGTTCCAGACTCTGGTGTAGTACCTATTCAGGTAGAAATACCAGATAATGCAACTAGTATTTCACTACGGGTAGGTTCACATCACTTTCCTTATATTTTGTTGTATTTCATAATGTTTTTTTTTTTGTTTTTTTTTTGGATAAAACATGAAGTAGTAGTATTAACGTTAAAATGATTGTAAATGAATGTTTCCTAACATACATTTATACCAAAAATTATGTAAACGATATTTGGTGCAAAATACACATTGGGTTGTCAAAGTTGTGGACTGTGAAATTTAAATTATTTACAACTTGTGTCTCTTTTTTTCAGGCGACATATGGAAAATTGTCATCTTACAAAACGCTTTCTAAAAGCTACTCACCAAGCGAAAGCTATATTCAATTATTTTTACGTTCATCTCACTTAAAGGTAAATATTTTATGCGTTTATCTACTATACTTTTATCTAGAAGATATATCTGAAATATCTCAATGATAGGTCTTACTTGTTATTTTTAAGACATTGGTTGTATTGTAGTTATATTAATGGATGCATGTGGTCAACGTTTACTTCTAATTAAGTTATTGAATTACAATAAAAAGGCGCCATTTACATGAATATTTTACTTCCAAAATGTATATACACGAAGTGCTTAGATTGTAACAGACCATATACATCTGAAATGGTAGTTAATTTATTATGAAGTTTGCTGTGTTTGATTTGGTACCATATTCCTATCATCATTTCCTTATTTCTGATTGTCACAAAATACCAACATATCAATGTGTTTTACTTGTGACGAGTAAGACGACGGGGATGTAACGAGAAAGGCCGTTTGAAACTGTATTTCGAGACAATTTCATTATTGAAATTATAAATTTGTCTCACCTTAGCAGCTATATACCAAATTCACCCGCGTGTTGAGTATACATTTTTCAACTCATACGATATTTAAGAGCTTGCAGCTGCTACCCAGACTTAGCTTTGTAAAACGTCATTTGCGTCTGAGCAAAATATTAATTCACCAGGTTTTTGTCAAAAAACGTCTCGGTCTTTTTCTTAAAAAGTTCATTGGATTTTACTGAATAGATAAATATTCGGTGTATAATTCACAAATATTGCAAGATGGTTGAGTAATAGATTCTAGTTGCTGAAGTTGTGTATCTTTTCATTTTCTCTCAGTTTCTCCTTTATTTGTCTTCGAGCTATTACGTTTCTTTAAGTCGTATTACTTTTGACGTGACTATGTATTTATGACTAAACCGGATCATAAAGAATGCATCCCGCTATCGTTTTTTTTTACTTTGGGAGCTACTTATGCAGGTGGGGCTGAGATTCGATTTGGACGCAAGAGGTTTTTAAAGTGTTGTTTCAATTTTGTTTACCCTTGAATTTATATTTTTCTTCATTGGCATTTTACTGAGAAAGTGTATTCTATATACGGAATGTACTATGCAACTGCAAATTTTTATCGGCGTCCTTGTCAATTTACTATCAACTACACAAACTTTTTTGTTTGCGTCTTTGTAAAATTTACTATCAACTACAACACGTTTATGTCGGCGTCTTTGTTAGCTTTATTTGTTTGAACTTTTTAGTCAGTTGTGTTGTATGTCTGTTATGTATGTTTACACAGTTTTGGCTGCTGGATGCCAATTATTGTCACATTAACCTATTATGTCTGTTATCGTTACTTCCCTCAATTTGTCAATAAAACGGAACTATAAACAACTGTCATACAAGTGGAAGGTTAAGCTAGGTATTAAACAAGATTTAACTCACAATTTTCTCCGGAAAAAGCCTGTAGCAAGTCAGAAATATAACAGTTGTTTTTCACTCTTTCCGTTGGTGGATAAACTTTTGTCAGTTTGTGTAGACTTCCCCATTTTGAATATACATTGGAGTTCGGGGAGGGTTGACCTCATTACATTCTTTATGATCCGGTTTAGTCATAAAAAGTATTTCTGAACTAGCTATAATCAGTTGAATGTTTCATACTTTTGCTTTTGAATTTTGAAATTAACTTTCACCATTACACATTACCAGCTTTTTTGTCTTTGTTTTGTTAAATTACGTCCTCTTCAATATAAAAATAAGGATAAGTGGTATGGCAACTATCCACCAGTTCGACTAGTATGGATCTTATTTCTGTCCATTTCGAAATTCATTTGAGACTAGTGTCCTAAATTGTTTTTACTCCTCTTAGAAGTTATACCCAATTCGCCGAGACAAGGAAACTGGTGTGGTACCCAAAATTTAGTTTGAATAAATGCTAAAGAATTAGATAACCTCTTGTCATAGGTCGCTTTTTATAACAAAGTCGTTCCGTGGATCATCAGAATAAACCAACAAACATATATTCCTAACAGAGGGGTTAATGTGTCAGCTATAACAACTTCAATATGTATTCCTTTGATAACAAAGCACTCTATATCCACACAATGTTTAGTGTGCAAAGTCAGCAAAAGATAAAATAGGGCAGGGACCTATATTAACAACCTTGTCTTGATCTGAATGTTTTATTTTTATTTTTCAGGCAGGCAGTGGGGCAAATTTTGAAATACAATCAACACAAGCAGTTACATCTTTAGTATATCAGGTAACAGCTATTTAAATTATAGCAATGCAAGTTAGTTATTTGGAGTTAAATGCTATTGTCTTTGGTAAATAAGAAAACATATAAAGATTTCTACTGTTGTTTCAAATGTTTAATGTAGATTTCTTTGTGAAACAAAAGCGCAATATTTGCCGACATTTTTTCTGCTTTTCTTTTTAAGTATACATAAAAAGCAGAACCTTTCCGGTGAGTAAGATATATTGCTTATTGACCGATATTGCATTAAAGTTGGTATGCACTAGAGGGGTTTAGAGTAAACAATGCTTAATCGCAAGAAAACGAGATATAAACAAGATGACGGAAATGAAAATTGCGTCCTTACCGCAGACATCAGAGTAGACTGAACTTGACTATATATAAAGCTACCTAGTGCAATTACCATATTATAGTGTTTTTCAAGATTTGCATTTAAAGGAAATTTGCACTAATAAATACGAAAAAGGCATTCTATATTGTTTGATGTTTTACTGTAGGTATTGTCTAGAGGTGCAATAGTTGGAGCAGGCACTGTTAATGGTGGAAATAAAAAGACTGTACCTTTCTCCATAGCTGTGAATTCTAAGATGGCACCAAACGCTCGTATTGTTGTGTACTATGTTAGAACAGACGGTGAAATAGTAACAGACAGTATCAGCTTTGATGTCGAAGGTGTTTTTAATAATCAGGTTGGTTGAAATGTAGAAAATAACAAACATGTTAGAACAATTTTATAAAAAAAAATATTCCAAGAAAACGTGAGCTCCTGTAGGTATTGTCTCCTTTGCCCCTTTTGAAGTTCATGCGATTCCCTCAGTTTCTGTTTGTTACCTTGTCTTTTCCTAATTGACTTACGAGTTGTGAACATCGGTAAACTACTACCGTCTTAGTGATTAAATAATTGTAAATCTTAAAGTATTATCTTATAAAATACAGATTTTCAATGCTTTTATAATTTTATCGTCGATAACATCTTTTCCTTTCTTTGATTTTGTACTTGTTGTGTTGTAGAAAGTATTTAAAACAGCAGCTTTTTGTTTTATGTTTGTGTAATGGTATTTTACTTTGACTTTATTTTATCATTTATTTTAAACAACATAGTCTTTTAAATAACAATTTAACTCCATGTTTCCTACAAACGGAATGGTATAAAAATCGCGTATATTTATAGTGCACGAAAAGGAAATTATAATATACTTTCAGTTGTATTTATCTTCACTTAATCATTATTTCAGTAATGTGTTTTAAAGTTATGCTTCAGTTCTAATTATATTAGGTTATTCACAATGACTCTGCACACACTTATTGACATCGAAAAATATATTTCTATTACTAGTATCCAATTCGTGGACTTTTGATCAACAACATATTTGTTAACATTGGTTAATTTAGATTCTAACATATAGACGACATTTGAATTGGCACATAGTTGAGCACATAAAAAACTCAACATAGATACGAGGACGAAAATTGTGTACGCCAGACGCGCGTTTCGTCTATAAAAGACTCACTAGTGACGCTCGAATAAAAAAGTTAAAAAGGGCAATTAAAGGTCGAAGTTAAAGAGCATTGAGAAACCAAATTCCGATATGGACACATCCACCAGCAGTTGGATCGACCCAAAGGATGCTTATCTAGTCGATCTGGTCTTACAGCTTTTTTAGCTCACCTGGCCCCAAAGGGCCGAATGAACTTTTCTCATCACTTGGCGTCCGTCGTCCGTCGTCGTCGTCCGTTATCTTTTACAAAAATCTTCTCCTCTGAAACTACTAAGCCAAATTAAACCAAAATTGGCTTAAATCATCCTTAGGGTGTCTAGTTTAACAAAATGTATCCGATGACCCCGCCCATCAACCAAGATGGCCGCCATGGCTAAAATAAGAACATGGGGGTTAAATGCAGTTTTTGGCTTATATCTCTGAAACTAAAGCATTTAGAGCAAATCTGACACGATGTAAAAATGTTCATCAGGTCAAGATCTATCTGCCTTGAAATTTTCAGACGCACCAGACAACCTGTTGTTGGGTTGCTGCCCTTGAATTGGTAATTTTAAGGATATTTAGTCAACATGACTAAAATTGGCAATTGACCCCATAAGGAGTTATTGCCCTTTAAAGTCAATTTTTTCACAATTTTTCGTTAATTTTTGCAGTGTGTTACATTTTAATGTTGTGTTTCTGTTGTGTCGTTGTTCTCCTCTTATATTTGATGTGTTTCCCTCAGTTTTAGTTTGTAACCCGGATTTGTTTTTTTTTTCAATTGATTTATTAATTTCGAACAGCGGTATACTACTGTTGCCTTTATTTTGCAACCTTTTACAAAAATCTTCTCTTCTGAAACTACTGGGCCAAATTAAACCAAATTTGGCCTAATTCATCCTTAGGGTATCTAATTAAAAAAATATATCCGATGACCCCGCCCATCAACCAAGATGTTTGCCATGGCTAATAATAGAACATGGGGATAAAATGCAGTTTTTAGCTTATATCTCTGAAACTAAAGCATTTAGAGCAAATCTGAGGGAGTAAAGATGTTCAACAGGTCAATATATATTTGCCCTGAAATTCAGACGCATCAGACAACCCGTTGTTGGGTTGCTGTCCCTGAATTGGTAATTTTAAGGAAATCTTTCAGTTTTTGGTTATTATCTTGAATATTATAATAGATAGAGATAAACTATAAACAGCAAAATTGTTCAGCAAAGTACAAATAAGTCAACATGACCAAAATTGTCAATTGACCCCATAAGGAGTTATTGCCCTTTAAAGTCAATTTTCGTAAATTTTTGTAATCTTTTACAAAAATTTTCTCCGAAACTACTGGCCCAAATTAAACCAAACTTGGTCTTAATCATTAATGGGGTATCTGATACTATTTATTATGATTTTAACCTTATTTTATATGATTTCCAAAACCACAGTAGATACAGGAGAGCGACACAGGCTCTTGAGAGACTCTAGTTAGGTTTATGTCATTGTTTTCACTCCAGGTTCTACATCCAAACCAAAGGACTATTGATAATTTCATTGTTCGTACCCCTTAATGAATTATCGCCACGTTATTGTTTGAATTTTTGGTGTGGGACATTATCGGCCAATCGCAACATTTTGGTGTAAGCTTTTGAAAATATTGCCCAGAAAACATTTCATTTTGAAATTATGAATCGAATTTGGGGCAGTTATGTAACAGCACAACGTAAGAACAAATAAAACAAAACAAGTGAAGACGTATTTTTTAGTCTTTAATTCTTACCAATTCTTAAAGTCATATGAAACTTCAAAATAAAAAAAAATCATGCATATGTTTTTTTGTTAATAAATGGCTAGTTTTTATTATAAAACTTATGTACATAATTTATACTTTTTTCTGAAGAAAATTCTTTAATTTGTCTAAATTTAGAAGAATTTTCTTTTTTTATTATTGGCTTCCCAGACAATAATTCGCCGACATGTTTTCCGTATGCATTTACCTCAGCGTGACTGTTCTCGTAAAAATCCAGTGATTGCAATACGCAAGTGCGACGGGGAAAACCAAATTGACAGAGAGAGTCAACAAACGTAAACATTGCTCCGTCATCGAAATAAACTATATATCTTATTGCACATGTTTTACACGTGCTTACCTCAAAACCCATGCTTATTCGTTGATTGTTTACAAAGGTGACAATCGGTAAACTTCGGCTTCAAAACACGACCATTAATTAGCTGCCATATTTTCACATCAAAACTGACCGAGTGAAACATTGTTTTGACGATTATACGGTATGGATGCGTAAAAAATGATAAAATCGTGCACAGAAGACTAAGTTTATGATATATGCATGCATTGGTTCAAGAATTGGATTAACATTATTTTTCACAAGTCACTCGTTTCATATGACTTTAAAAGAAATTATTGTATCGAAATATGTATCACAATGGATGCTGTTAAATGTAGTGAAATTAAATGAATTATGTCTCAAATGTATTTTCACATTTAACAAAAATAAGTCTTTAAGACTTCTTTTTGTTAAATGTGAAAATATAATCGGCCCGATGAAATATCATGTGTCAAAATATGTAAATCTTTTAATAACAATAGTTGTAAACAGAAATCTTAGCGATGTAATGGCTAAATCTTTTTTGTGCATAGCAAACTGAGCTGAGAACAAATATACGAAGACATGTCAATTAAATCGATAAATGTTCGCATTTAAACCTGAGTTTAAATTAAACACAAGAGTATGAAGAGCAAAATAACATTCTGCGTTGCATTTTTCTGTTTACAGGTTTCTATTTCATTTGACAAAACTAAAGCTCAGCCTGGAGATCCAGTAAATGTACAAGTTACAGCTGATCCAATGTCAGTTGTTAATTTGCTAGCCGTCGATCAAAGTGTCCTTTTGTTAAAATCTGGAAATGATATTACACAATCACAGGTAAGTTTCACGTATGTTCCAGTGAGGTAGTATAGATGTGGAAATCGATATTAGTCGGTCATTGAATTGTTACATTACCGATTGACATATATCAACGAATGAGTACTTACCATGAACAACGTCAAGGGTGTTATTAGTGGAACAGGATCTGCTTATTTTTCCGATGCAATTTATATTACCCCCACAGATTTTAGCAATGTACATGTTGCTCAGTTATTAGTTTTATGTAATATTTTGTGAACCAATTTGTCTTTTCGTCGGGTTTCTTTTTTTGCAAAAGCGTTGCCAGTTTCCCCTTGACGTATAAGTTTATAGATCTACATGTATAAAGATTTATATATCTTATTTATGAATTTCATTTACCCTTGCAAAGTATTTATTATCGGGGTAATATATTAATCACTCTGCCCGTCAGGGTGTCTATCTGTCCAGGTCCCAGCACAACTCTTCCTAAACGGTGTAACGGATACATTACTTAATAAAACTTTACACCGTTGTAAAATACTAGCTTGGGGTTTTTATAAATAAATATGACCAGGGTCCCACATTGTGAAGGGAATATAACTATATTTACTCACTTAAATATTACAATATGTGGTACTGGTGTCTCATAAGCGCAACTTCTCCAAAACGGTTTAATGGATATTAATTAAATTTTACACAGTTGGAGAACACTACCTGGAAGGGCTGGTTGATCCTTTTGTGGATTCATTCACAGTTCTTGTTTATATTATGATTTAGGGTTGTCATCATTTCTATTTTTTGAATTGTTTGGTTTTGAGTTCTTTAATTGTAATTCAAAGCTATGGCATCTTTTCAGTATACTTTTTTTATGTTTAAGGTTGTAGAAGAATTGAAATCATATGATACCAAACACAAGAGTATAAGCCCATTCTTCTTCGGAGGTGGCGGTATTGGTATTGCAGCCCGTAAACGCCGAATGATATGGTGGCCATATCCTACATATTATGGTGGATCAGATGCATCTCAGATATTTTCGGTAAAGACATTTAATGAAAAATAATACTTTGCTGGAGAACAAACATAATAGGTTGTTCATAACAATGCCTATTTTGAAACATTGATTATCGGAATACGCATCTGTTCAAGTATTGTGTGTGCCCTCAGTGTTATTGGTTTCTAATAACAGGCGAAAAGAACTTCTAAAAGAAGTGCGGAATTGTTCAAGCTCTTTTTAACCTATATTGATTTAGCATTAAAAATACAACTTTGCACTATTTCACAACAAATTCGAACTATTCAACAAATTCAAAATTTTTGATATGATCAGTATAAATCTATCACTTTTAGACATTAAATACGGATACATCAATGAATATATAGACCATAAAATTGTTGGTAGTTTGAAACCATTATACTATGTGTTTTCGTCTTGAGATTTATGTGTAAAAAGGTACATGGATCGTTTGAAAATATCTAAGGAGCACTGTTATATTTAAGGAATGCAAGAACCGAAAAATGAATATTACAGTTATGTACATAAGAATATCTGTGTTATAATAGAGTTTAGTTTCCTGTTTATCATATCATATTTAGTGTTGTTATTCTTTAATTCTATGAAAGTTAATATTTTTGCAAATATCCAGTTAACTAAAAAGGCGACAAAACGTTCGTTGTATTGCAACAGTTCTAATTTCTATTTTATGAATGGTCGTTAAGGATTTTCAATAGTAAAAGTACGCATACATTTTGTATCTTTTGTTTTTGATTCTTAAATCCGTTGACAATGTATATCACCAACTCGTTTACTCGAACTTATAACACTCTAAAACAATTTAGCCCGCTTCTACAACAAGCTTTACAATGATGTCGGATTTCTTTGACATACTTGTTGTAGTAGGAGCATTAAACAGTATAACTGAACGTATTGGAAGATTTCAATGGCTCGTTGGTTGCAATTTAAAAACCAGCTGTAAATACCCTAAACATACAGCTTCTAGATGGATGGATAGATATACACAAAATAAAGTAATGTCTTTCGAAATCTCTTTAATTCTTGCGTTAATGCTTTACAGAATGCAGGTGTGAAAGTATTAACAGATGCTACAGTATACCACCACAAGCAACGTAAGTCTGTTTTCTATATTATATCGGTCAATATTTAATATAGTTATTTGGAATTATATTTTCTCTCAAATGCACAGACGGCTTTTGTTTTTGTATTGATATACCTGTGATAACTTACAGCTGACGATTCAAAAGCATATACGAAACTGTCCAGGGCGCTTTCATGGTAAACTTATATAATGTCAGTAAATCAAGTGATGTGTAAATTTGTTCATAATTGTTTGTATGATTTAAAATAATTCAAGATCGCTATATAGCTTAAATTTTCTGTAAAATGTTTCACAACATTTCCATACGGTCAAATAATCATTATTTAAAAAATAAATAAAGTTGCTTTAAAATTTATTTATTTGTAAAGATACTGTTAAGAAATGTGTGTGACAATTGTAGACTTTAATTCTGTATTTGCCTGTCCCAAGTCAGGTGCTTATAAAATATGAAAACTTGAAAAGCTCTCAGTCCTCCAAGTCTTCAAAAGTTGTCATTGGTTGTCGTTTGTTGTATATCATATTTGTATTTCGTTCATTGGGTTTTTTTTTACATAAAACAGGCCGTCAGTTTTCTCGTTTGAAATGGTTTACATTTGTCATTTCGGGGCATTTTAAAGCTGACTATGCGGTGTAGGTTTTGCTCATTGTTGAAGGCCGTACGGTGACCTATAGTTGTTAACTTCTAGGTCATTTGGTCTGTGGTGGAGAGTTGTCTCATTTGCAATTATACCACATCTTCTTATTTTTATATTCAATGAATAGGTACACGATACTAATGGAAAAATAACATTTTCAAGACATTTCAATTGGATATCATTGGTGGTTATCATAGTCATTTCAGTGAGAGGTTTAGCTAGTTATAAAACCAGGTTTAATCCACCATTTCTACATAAGGAAATGCCTGTACCAAGTCAGGAATATGGCAGTTGTTATCCAGTCGTTTGATGTGTTTTAGCTTTTGATTTTGCCATTTAAATACAGACTTTCCGTTTTGAATTTTCCTCGGAATTCGGTATTTTTGTTATTTTAATTTTCAATGTGTTGCGGAGAAAAAGAAAAAAAAGGAAGAACGGGTTTCACTGATTTCCAGAAAATGTTTGATCAAAATATTTCATGCTGTAGAAATTTGTATATATTTATATAGGAATATGACAGTTGTTTTCCTTTTTTTTATATGTATGAGTTTCTGATTTTGCCTTTGATAGCAGACTTGTTTTTGTACTGTTATGAATCACTGTTTATGACCAAACTCAGTAAAGACCCGTCTAAATTGCATTTAATTGATAAATTCAACAACACTTACCGTTATCTTGACGATATTTTTTCGTAAAATAATCAAGAATTTTCTAAATAAACTGCCGAAATTTACCCAAAGGAACTTACTTTAAATAAATCAAATGTAAACGGTAATAACTGTCCTTTCCTAGATTTTGATATTTAAGTTTTACACGGGGAAACTCTACACTAAAATTTACGACAAAGGAACGATTTTTCGTTCCCTATTGTTAATTTTCTTTTTTTGGATGGTGATGTTCCTTTGACACCATCTTACGGTGTTTAAATATCACAAATCGTTCGCCCGTGTCTGTTGTGACGTTTTCGATTTTAATGAACGTAATCTATGTATTACTGGTAAATTATTAAGTCAGGGATTTCGTTACCACAAATTACTTAAAACCTTTTCTAAATTCTTCCATAGATATAAAGATTTGGTTTTGAAGTTTGGTTGTACCTGTAGGAAACTTATTTCGAACGGGATAGCACGTCCTCATTTTTACGGAGATGTTGTTTACCGTGCTCGGAAATTTAGAAACGATCCTGGTAAACTCATCGATACTTTAAATAAACTTATTCTAAAAGGTTACCAATTTAACACTGTAATTAGATCTTTGAATATTGTTTTTATTGGTATTAATATTGATTTTGTTATCAGTAAATTAAAAGCAAACTAAATATCATTGTTATATACATATGCACATTCATGGATCTAAAATCTGTCGGTAACTGTATTTTGGCATTGCACGAGGTCATATGTTTCTCTGACTGTTTATGACGTCTTAACACTAAATACATTGGATGTTGGATGAGTAATGATTGATAATTTAGTCTTAGATGCATGATTTATTTTTTTATAAGTTGTTATTGGCTTTGAACTAGCTGTCAGTAACTGCGAGTACTCTCAGATCTGTACTTGGTGTCTTTTTGTTGTTGGGATGTACAAGTACCCGACCATGTCCAACTCTGTGTTTTTGTTAGAATTATTTCTACTGTATCCATCTGATGAGTTCAGCCTTTTTCAACTGATTTTTATAGTTCGTTCTTATGTTGTACTGTAACACCACTGTCCCAGGTTATGGGGAGGGTTGGGATCCGGCTAACATGTTTAACCCCGCCACATTCTGTATGTATATGCCTATCCCAGGTCAAGAGCCTGTAATTCAGTGGTGGTTGTCGTTTGTTGATGTGTTACATATTTGTTTTTCTTTAATTTTTTTTCGTACATAAACTAGGCCGTTAGTTTTCTCGTTTGAATTGTTTTACATTTGTCATTTCGGAGCCTTTTATAGCTGACTATGCGGTATGGGCTTTGGTCATTGTTGAAGGCCGTACGGTGACATATAGTTGTTAATTTCTGTGTAATTTGGTCTCTTGTGAAGAGTTGTCTCATTTGCAATCATACCACATCTGTTTTATATTCGATAAGAACAATGAATATGGAGGCGGGTATATTTCTAAGAGACAGCACACTAAGAACACAAATGACGAAAATGACGGACAGGTGTTTGTAAAATATGGAAAGCTCTCAATCTTCCAAGTCTTCCAAAGGTGGCAGTTAATTAGTTGAAACTGTCAATGATTTGCTATCAACACTGAATTCTTCAAATAATTAAAACACTAAGCTTTTACATAAGACAACTACTGACGGGGCTTCTGACTTGGGATAGGCACGTTAATTTGCTCTATGTAACTGTGCACATTCTATTACACGAGATTATATATTACTCCACTTGTACCCGTGTTTGTGTTGTCTGTTTAATTGTTTATATAATCAAAAGAGCTTTTTTCGAACTAAGTTTTATTCTTGAAGTGAATATTACATTGATTTGTAGATTGTTGTCTGTCTTTCCGTATTCTTTTTGTTTTGTTTTGGTCAGGATATTATCTGTTAGTCTTCTTCCGTTCGAGATTATTTTATGCACGTTTGGTATCTCTTACTTCTTTTTATCTATGACATGCCACGTAAATGTATTTGATCACGTTGACATTTAATTTACTAATCTCAGCCGTTTTATGCATACATTTGCGTTACCAATGCAGAATCGACGCTTGATCGTGTACATATCTTATATAGAAGTAGAAACGTTGAGTTATAACAATCAAATAGATTTCGAAACATCACGAAAACATTTTTCTTAATTTAACAAGGGGGTATTGAATAAGTAAATGTGTCCATAAACAAAATTTTCTCAGAATCACTTGAACTCGAGTAACGAAAAGACACTAACTGTCCAAAACGTTTTTATAATTCATATTTTATGCAATTATTCAATTTAAAATACATTCATTACTTATTTTACAAATACATTTCCCCAATTACCATGATTACTTGCTAGATAACTGTATTAATTATCAATGTCACAGCTTTTCGTGATTTTCATGTATAATTAGAAGCCATAAATTACGTAAATAGTTAAAAATGTAATTGAATTTTAAATTTTGTTTTGTATAGCGTACCAATATATGCCGTTTCTTCATTTTGAGAAAGGTGGGATAGCATCAGGAGGAATGATCAATTCTTTACCAAATGTGGTAAATGGCGGGACATCTTCTAAGTTAAAAGAAGTTACCCGTACTAGAAAAAGTTTTCCAGAAACATGGCTTTGGACAAATAAAACAACTGGGTATCTTATAGATTCATTGGCATTTCACCCTATTTTTATTTATAAACTCCTAGCTAGATTAAAACTAATTGTAGAGTTGTTCTCTTTAGCTTATATATAATTCAGCCTTTATCTTATGAATTTAGCAGGTCGATACCACTAGATTTTTACGTGAAAATACATTTGCATAGTACAATGTTATTCCTAAAATACAAAATTTAAACATGCCCTTTAAGAGTTGACCTATTTAAAAAATGAGCAACAATGTAGCCTACAAGAAGTTTCCTCTTAAGAAGAAGTTGTATTCGGTTAAAATATGTAATTTTTTATTGTGTCTCGGAATCTCATGCTTGATTCCCCCCTCCCCCAGCTAATGTAATACATATAATGTATCAAAAGTAATACCATAATCGTCAATTTGCATGCGAATATTGATAAAAAAACTATTGTCCACCAACTTTTAACCTGTTTTCGTCTTGTCAAAAGAATGAACATATTTAATCTATTATTTTGCTCTGTAAATGGGCTTTCAATTTACGTGAAATCAATGCTCTTCAACTTCGTCCCTTATTTGGCCCGAGAACACAGTTATTTCGTAGTGCATTTCTTTTAGACAATAAATTCAAATTAAAACAATCGCACCTGCTCTATCTCAAAAAGATTTTTACAGTGTAGTGTACTACTATTGATACAAATAATATCAAAATTATAGAAACTTCTACCAGCTCTAACTCAAAATATTGACAATTTTGTGTTAAGGGGGGCTAAAATTCAGTTTGACAGCTTCAGACATTCTAATTTTTGACCTTTTTTAACTGGACCAAATCACTACTTAACAGAAAGATTCAGCACCCAAATTTTTTTAACATGTAATTTCATCCCCTTACTTAATATTTCATGCATAAAATATCAAGAAATAAATTGGGAAAGTGTATCAAAAAAAAAATGCAAGTTATACACTGTTCACACTAGGGACTATATTCGTAGACAACGAAAACCAAAGGACGATAACTGTGTCCTTGGACCATTTGGCCTTTCTGACTTTTTTATTCAAAGGGAGACTGATGAGTCTCTTGTAGACAAAAAATCTCGTATGACGTACACAATTTAAAGCCTGGTATATACGATG